CGCCGTCGGCCGCCGTGGCGCTAAGCCGTCTCCCTCCCCTGTGACTCCAAGGCCAAGAGAAACAGATCGAGCCCGACACGTTCAGGGACTCGCATGGCCCCTGGGGCTGCAGTCTCCCGTGCAGAGGGACCTGGGTGCTGGCGCCGTCGGCCGCCGTGGCGCTAAGCCGTCTCCCTCCCCTGTGACTCCAAGGCCAGAGAAACAGATCGAGCCCGACACGTTCAGGACTCGCATGGCCCCCTGGGGCTGCAGGTCTCCCGTGCAGGGGGACCTGGGTGCTGGCGCCGTCGGCCGCCGTGGCGCTAAGCCGTCTCCCTCCCCTGTGACTCCAAGGCCACGAGAAACAGATCGAGCCCGACACGTTCAGGGACTCGCATGGCCCCCTGGGGCTGCAGGTCTCCCGTGCAGGGGGACCTGGGTGCTGGCGCCGTCGGCCGCCGTGGCGCTAAGCCGTCTCCCTCCCTGTGACTCCAAGGCCACGAGAAACAGATCGAGCCCGACACGTTCAGGGACTCGCATGGCCCCCTGGGGCTGCAGGTCTCCCGTGCAGAGGGACCTGGGTGCTGGCGCCGTCGGCCGCCGTGGCGCTAAGCCGTCTCCCTCCCCTGTGACTCCAAGGCCAAGAGAAACAGATCGAGCCCGACACGTTCAGGGACTCGCATGGCCCCCTGGGGCTGCAGGTCTCCCGTGCAGAGGGACCTGGGTGCTGGCGCCGTCGGCCGCCGTGGCGCTAAGCCGTCTCCCTCCCCTGTGACTCCAAGGCCACGAGAAACAGATCGAGCCCGACACGTTCAGGGACTCGCATGGCCCCCTGGGGCTGCAGGTCTCCCGTGCAGAGGGACCTGGGTGCTGGCGCCGTCGGCCGCCGTGGCGCTAAGCCGTCTCCCTCCCCTGTGACTCCAAGGCCACGAGAAACAGATCGAGCCCGACACGTTCAGGGACTCGCATGGCCCCCTGGGGCTGCAGGTCTCCCGTGCAGGGGGACCTGGGTGCTGGCGCCGTCGGCCGCCGTGGCGCTAAGCCGTCTCCCTCCCCTGTGACTCCAAGGCCACGAGAAACAGATCGAGCCCGACACGTTCAGGGACTCGCATGGCCCCCTGGGGCTGCAGGTCTCCCGTGCAGAGGGACCTGGGTGCTGGCGCCGTCGGCCGCCGTGGCGCTAAGCCGTCTCCCTCCCCTGTGACTCCAAGGCCAAGAGAAACAGATCGAGCCCGACACGTTCAGGGACTCGCATGGCCCCCTGGGGCTGCAGGTCTCCCGTGCAGAGGGACCTGGGTGCTGGCGCCGTCGGCCGCCGTGGCGCTAAGCCGTCTCCCTCCCCTGTGACTCCAAGGCCACGAGAAACAGATCGAGCCCGACACGTTCAGGGACTTCTACAACTGCTGGAAGGAGACGGAGGCGGAGGCGCAGGAGGTCATCCTGCCCGCGGCCGTGGTGCGGCACCTGGACCGGAGCGAGTGCGTCTACAAGCTGTCGAGCGCCGTCAAGACCAACCGCGGCGTCGGCAAGATCGCCATGACCCAGAAGCGCCTGTTCCTCCTGCCGGAGGGCAGGCCCGGCTACGTGGAGATCTCCACCTTCCGGGACATAGAGGTGGGCGCCTTCCCGCGCCCCGCTTTGCTCGTACCGGGGCCGGCCGGGAAGCTCGGGGCGAGGAGCGGGCGCAGCAGGTGACATGCTCACGGCAGCGCCTGTGCGCCCACGGCTCAGCCTCTTCCTCCTCTCCCTCCTCCTCCCGTCTGCTGGGTCACTCCCCACCTTGCTGCCACAGCCAGGGCTGGGCCAGGCCAGAGCCAGGAGCCAGGAGCTCCATCTGGGCCTCTCGTCTGGGTGCGGGGGCCCAAGCATTTGGGCCGTCTTCCACTGCTGTCCCAGGATCGGAAGTGGGGCAGCCGGGACTTGAGCCGGCAGCCCGTGTGCGATCCCGGTGGCAGTCAGCAGCTTAACCCATTGCAACAGCACTGAGTTTTCTTCCTTTCTTCTTCTTCTTTTTTTAAAGATTTATTTATTTTTGAAAGGCAGAGTTATAGAGAGAGTTAGAGAGAGAGGGAGAGAGAGAATCTTCCATGTGCTGGTTCACTGCCCAGATGGCTGCAATGACGGGCTGGGCCAGGCTGGAGCCAGGAGCCAGGAGCTTCCTCCAGGTCTCCCACGCGGGTGCAGGGGCCCAGGCACTTGGCCGTCTTCTGCTGCTCTCCCAGGTGCATTAGCGGGGAGCTGGGTCGGAAGTGGAGCAGCCGGGACTCCACCCAGTGCTCCCGCGTGGATGCCGGGGTGCAGGCGGCGGCTTCCCGCTGGGCCAGCATGCCTGGGCACGCAGCCAGCGAGTGGGCGAGGGTTCCCCTGAGACGCGGTGCTCGGAGCTCGTGGGTGTCGGCGCGCGCGCCCGGCGTCCCGTGCGGCCGTGGCTCCATGGCCCGTCTCTCTCCGGTCTCTGCCCCCACAGGAGGTCCGAAGCACCACGGTGGCGTTTCTGCTTCTGCGAATCCCCACTTTGAAGATCAAGACGCTGTCCAAGAAGGAGGTGTTCGAAGCCAACCTCAAGTCTGAGTGCGGCCTCTGGCTCCTGCTGGTCAAAGAGATGTGGGCGGGGAAGCAGCTGGCCGACGACCACAAGGTCCGCCCGCCCGCCTGGCCCCTCGGGCTCCTCCGGGAGAGCCATGTGCTCTGGGTTGAGGAGCAGCGGGGGCCTCGCGGCACTGGCATGTGCCATGGGGGGAAACGGGCCCAGAGCGGGCGGTGGCCATGGGGGCCCCACCCGGCCTCCCCAACCCTCACCACGCCCCCCTCCTGGCGGCGCCCAGCGATGGGGGCAGGGTGGTCTGGGCTCGCCTTGCCTCCCCTAGGCTTCTGGGGACTTGAGGCCAGCGGTGCGGCTTTCCCAGTCACCAGGGGCCCTGTGCCCAGGTGACGGGGGGAGGGGCGGGGGACGAGGCTTTCCCAGTCATGAGTGCCCGGGTGACGGGAGGAGGGGCGGGGGAAGAGGCCCACGTCCAGGTGGCACAAGAGGAAGTCCTCAGGACACAGGCAGAGCGTGACCAGGGAGCCCTGTGGTTATGAAAGACAGGAGGGCCAGTGACCGTGGCTGCCACGTGCCTGTGGCTTAGGCCACACAGACGCCCGGGGGCTGGCTGAGCTGTGCAGTGAGGGTGGCGTGGAGCGTGGCCACGCCTGTTTGGTGACACTGCTCCCACGGCAGAGCCATGCGCTGTGCGGGGCCCACAGCCCAGCCTCCTAGAGCATGTTCGCCGACCCTGGCGCGGCCGTCCCTCGCAGGGCGGCACGTCCGCACGCGCCCCTCTGTGCCCGCTGACCTCGCCTGCGCCACCTCCCGCAGGACCCGCAGTACATCCAGCAGGCGCTGACCAACGTGCTGCTGATGGACGCCGTGGTGGGCACGCTGCAGTCACCCAGGGCCCTCGACGCCGCCTCCAAGCTGTCCTACTTCGACAAGATGAAGAACGAGAGTAAGACCCGGGGCCGCCCGCATGTGCGCTGCCTGCCTGTGCACGCATGTCTCACGGGGTCCTGTGTGCACGAACACGTGTGTGACGTGATTGTGGAGAACACGTGTCTCACGGGATCTTGTGTGCCATGTATGAACACGTGTCTCACGGGATCTTGCATGAACGTGTGTCTCGCGTGACCGCGTGTGAGTGCTGTGCTCATGGGCCTCATGCGATGTGAGGGGCTGACCGCTGTTTAACCAGAGCCATGCCCAGCTGCCCCCTGTTTTTCTGATTTCCTGATTGATCTCTGAACTCCACCCACTGTTCTCATCGGGGGGCTGCCGCGCCTCAGCCCCCGCCTGCCCACACCCAGCTCGGGGTGGATGCCGCCTTGCTCAGGAAGGTGGTGGCCGTGACTCGTGGTGGCTGTGACTCAGTGGCAAGCAGTGGAGGGGGCTCTGTGGGAGGCGCGGGGCCTGGGGCCTGGGGTCTGGGGCCTGGGGCCTGGTGCCTGGGGCCGCCAGCAGCGTCCGCCCGGCCTGCGGCGTGGCCGGCTTCCCAGGCAGGAACCGTCCGGTCTCCTTGCACGCGGAAGCCACAGGAGGAGGGGTCTCTACCACCGTGGCGGCATCGCCCTGCTCCCCAGCTGTTGGGATGGGGATGGAATGGAAGTGGAGAAGGCAGAGGGCCCTGTGTTGCCGCCGGGACGGCCTGCACCCGCCACCGTGATCACCTAGCGTACGGTCGGCACGTAGGTGACGTGGCGCGTGCGGTTGATCCGCGTCAGCAGGACGAGCCTCGTGGTGCGTGGGTGGGTTCTGCCGGGGTGTCGGCGGCCACCGCGCCGGGAGGTTTCTCGCGCGCCACTGTTAAAGGGTACCGCTTCCTGGCGGCTCAGGCGTGGACTTGAGCACGCCCCCCGCACTGCTGTCTCTGGAGAGGCGCGTTCCGGGCACGCCACAGGGACAGGACCCAGGCGCACCGGGCTTCTCATGGTAGCTGAGTCGCAGTGGGGTGTGTGCGTGGGGTCCTTCCCATAGCTGTGAACAGCCCCTCATCGGCAGGAGGGCCTGGGTGGCGTCTCCCTGTGGACGCTGGCTGTCCTGCCTCTCGGGGCATGGAGGGCCTGGGTGGCGTCTCCCTGTGGACGCTGGCTGTCCTGCCTCTCGGGGCATGGAGGGCCTGGGTGGCGTCTCCCTGTGGACGCTGGCTGTCCTGCCTCTCGGGGCATGGAGGGCCTGGGTGGCGTCTCCCTGTGGACGCTGGCTGTCCTGCCTCTCGGGGCATGGAGGGCCTGGGTGGCGTCTCCCTGTGGACGCTGGCTGTCCTGCCTCTCGGGGCATGGAGGGCCTGGGTGGCGTCTCCCTGTGGACGCTGGCTGTCCTGCCTCTCGGGGCATGGCTAGCACATTCTAGAACATCGTCCCAGGGCTGGGAAGAGCATGCCTCCGAGGTGACCGGGCTCACCGGACAGTGTGCAGGGGGAGGAGCAGCTGTCGCGCTCCCAGGGAGCGGCCCCCGAAGGCAGTGGGCAGCTGTGCGTGTGTGTGTGCGTGTGCGTGTGTCGGGGGTCCCGGGAGACTCCATGGCGGGGGCTTTCCAGTCTGGTGGGAACACCGCCCGCCTGCCCTCACACGGAGCAGCCTTGCAGGTCGTGAATTGTCCCCAAGACTCCGTGCTGGAGAAGCCGGGTGTGTGAGGCCGCGGGGTGGCGCCATGACCCCGGGTGTCGCGCTTGCTTTGCAGTGCCCATGGCGGTCCCGAAGACCACGTCGGAGACGCTGAAGCACAAGATAAACCCGTCGGCCGGGGAGACCTTGCCGCGCGCCGTGGACGTGCTGCTGTACACGCCAGGTCAGCGCCCTGCCTCCCGGCTGTGCACGCGGGGCCTGGGCGGCCGGGGGCTGCACGCGGCATGGCGGCGCCGGGTGTTCCCCACCCTGGGGGCAGCAGTCTGAGCTGACCCCGCTCCGTGGAGTTGGCCGTGTATTGACTGCAGCCGTGGCTCAGCCCACGGGAGAGGGAGCTGGGGCCGGCACCCAGGCTCGGCGTCGCAGCCCGGAGCCCTGGTCCTTGGGTCCCGCGGCGGCTGCTCTCTTGCCCGCCCTGGCCCCTGTCATGGCGCTAACGGGACTGCACCTTACCACGGGGACACACGCGCCGCCTTTGCTATCCTGAGGGCTGCGAGAATTTTTGTTTTTTAAAAGACTCATTTATGCATTTGAAAGCAGAGTGACAGAGAAAAAGGGAGAGACAGAGAGATCCTCCATCCGCTGGTTCGCTCCCCAAATGGCCACAACGGTTGCCAGTGGGCCAGGTGGAGGCCAGGAGCCAGGAGCTCCATCCAGGTCACCCTCGTGGGTGCAGGGGCCCAGGCACTCAGGCCGTCTTCCACAGCTTTCCCAGGCCCATGAGCTGGGAGCAGAGAGCTGGGAGCAGCCCAGCCCCTGCCTGTGTCACGTCTCCCACACCCCAAGAGTGGCGCTAGCGAGCTTGGGGAGCCTACCACGCTCCTGCTGGGTGTGGACGTGGCTGGGGCGCGGGGGCCCCTGGCTGCCGCCTGCTCTCCAGCCACACCCCTTCCCGTGCCATCTGCCCCCCCACCCCTCCCCCTGCCTGAACTCGTGCCCCAGCAGGGCGGCGTGGGGCTGTGCTTGCCCCGCAACCCCCGGCACCCGGCGCGGTGGGGCTTGGCGAATCCCTAGTGCCCAGCTGGGCTGCGGTGGCCTGTGGGCTTCCTCACACGCCTGGGCTTGCTGTCCCCGCTCAGGGCACCTCGACCCCGCGGAGAAGGTGGAAGACGCTCACCCCAAGCTGTGGTGCGCCCTGAACGAAGGAAAGGTGATCGTGTTCGACGCCTCCTCCTGGACCATCCACCAGCACTGCTTCAAAGTGGGCTCCTCCACGCTGGTGAGCGGGCGCGCGAGCCCAGGGGATCGGCCGCGCGCTGGCCTCTCGCGGTTTTACGGCATTCGAAAGGCCAGCCCTGGAGGTCTTCACCCGCTGGGTCACTCCCCAGACTCCCCAGACGGCTGGAGCCTGGGGCTCCGTCCAGGTCTCCCATGTGGGGGCCCAAGCACTTGGGCCATCTTCCGCTGCTTTCCCAGGCACAGCAGGGGGTTGGGTCGTAAGTGGAGCAGCCGGGACTTGAACCTGCATGTGTGTGGGATGCTGGCGGAGCAGGCAGCAGCCTTACCCGCTACGCCACAGCACCGGCCCCAAACGAATCAGTTTTTGTGAGCGCTTCCTGCTGCCCTAGATAATGGGCTGGGCTGCACCGACGGCCGCTGTACCTGGTCTCAGCAGCCCTCGTAGGCCATGACGCTCTCGCGGGAGGCTGCTTCCGTGTGCAACCAGCCGCGTCTCTCCCGTCCTCGTCACACGCTGCACACGTGTGGGTGAAGACACGCGAGGTCGTCCTAACACTGAGCAAAGCAGCGTAGGCTCGGTGCTCGCTGCCCAGGTTCGAGTCCTGGCTCTGCTCCCACTTCCGGCGCCCACTCATGTGCACCCTGGGAGGCAGGAGGAGGTGCCCCACACACTCCCAGCCCTGCCAACCGCAGGGGCCCTGGATGGGGTGGCTGGCGCCTGGCACAGGTGTGCAGGCCAGCGTAGCTGTCCCCACGCCCGTGTGGCTTTTCTAAGTCCCCAGGGTTTTCATCCTTATTTCAAAAAGTCTGAACATTGGGGCCGGCATTGTGCCCATAGCTGTGCGCCGATCCGAGTCCCGGCCACCCCACGTCCGCTCCCTGCTCACGCACCTGGGAAGCCAGCAGAGGACGGCCCTGGTGCTTGGCCCCTGCCTCCCACCCGCAGCCACACTGCAGCCATCTGGGGGGCAGGGAGTCCGTGGGTGGAAGATCACCGCCTCTCTCTGCCTTTCAAAAATAAACAAGTACGTCAACCTTGAAAATCAAGCCCTGGCTGGCCCCCAGCGCAGTCCCGCGGGCAGAGCCTGGGCGCTCTGCTGTCCACACACAGTGCATCCCGGTGTGTGCGGACCGGCTGCTGCTCGGGTCTACTCGTAACTCCTCAAAATAAATATTTGCGGTGCTACCCCGGGGGGCGCACGGACACGCGTGTGCACGGGGCGGCACATGCACGAGGCCGTGGCGTGCACACGTGTTCTCAGTGGGCGTCCCTGTTGCTGGGGACACTGCTGTTGGGATGACCCCGGGCACGGTGCTGGATGAACCGGCCGCGCACCTGTTCCGGCCGCTGGCTGTGCAGTCCTGGCCGACTCCACGGCGTGCGCCGGGTCAGTGATCCTCGCCCAGGTGCGCCGAGGCTGCGCCCGTCTCACCCTCCCCTCTCGACCTCGCCAGAACTGCATGGTGATGGCGGAGCAGAACCAGGTGTGGCTCGGCTCGGCGGACGCGGTCATCTACATCATCAATGTGCACAGCATGTCTTGCAACAAGCAGCTCACGGACCACCGCGCCAGCGTCACAGCTCTGGCCGTGCAGGAGGGCACGGCGGCGCCCAGGTGCGTGGCTGGGTGGGCACTTCCAGCCCCACCGAGGGGAGAGGGAGGCCCTCTCCCACGTGCCCACTTGGCGTCCCTGCCGCCAGCCCCGCCCTACACAGGACCGAGCCGTCCTGGACCTGAGGTGTCAGGCCCTTGTCCACGCTGGGCGGCGCGGGCCTCTGGCTGGGCTGGATTCCAGGCCTCTGCCCGCAAGCTCTCGGCTCATCCCTGGAGAAGCCACGAAGGTCACTCCACCCCGCTAGTCCTGCCTAGCCTGCTGTGCCAGCCCGGCCCTGGCGTCCAGCAGTGGGCCCTCTGCGTCTGTCCCCAGGGCTGTGGGACGAGCACAGATCAGAGCGCTCAGAGCAGGGACGCACGCGGGGCCGGGGCCTGGGAGCGGCAGGTGGGGCGCCGCGCTCCTGGGGACCTGGACGGGGGTTCCCCACCCTCTGTTCTTGCACATGCTGCCCGGCTGCAGGCCCAGCCTCCCCCGCCCCTCACGTGGCCCCTCTGAGACCGCAGCTCCAGGCCAGCGCGGGCTGAGGTCCCTGGGCAGAGGCCACCAGCGGATCTGGTTTCTGGGACAGAATTCTGCCCCCAGCCCTGCTGGCCGCACTCTGGGTCCTTCCCCGCCCTAGGGGTCCAGCGTGCCCCGCTCCTGGGGTCCCGTGTCCCGCAGCGGGGGACGAGCCAGGAGGCCCCTCCCTGGCCCTTACCCGTGTCAGTCACGTGGGAGCCCGGGGGCGGGCCTCAGGGGATTGGGTGCCGCTGAGCAGAGCCCTGTCCCCTGCAGTGCCATGGAGGCCGAGTGCGTCTGCCCCCCAGGTTACAGGCCTCAGGTGGGCGGGGGTCCCCTGCAGCCCACAGAGCTGCACTGTCAGCCACGTGGGCAGCCCGAAGCCCCTGTGCTGGGGGGTTCCGTCCCACACTGCAGCGAGCCGAGCCAGCGAGCCTGCTCTTGCCCCCGGGACCCCGTGTTGCTGGCCGGGAACAGTGTCTCCGGGGCTGACTGTGTGTGTCTGGCTCTCCAGTGAGGTCTACTCCTGCAGCGTGGACGGGACGGTCCTGGCGTGGAACGTGAGCACGCTGCGGGTGACCAGCCGCTTCCAGCTGCCGTGCGGGGGCCTCACGGCCATGCAGCTGCACGGCGGCCGCCTGTGGTGCTGTAAGTGCTGGGCCCCACCCCGCCCGCTCTGTGCCCAGGCCCCTCTGCCCACGGCCTGCTGCCGCCTCCACTCCCTCCCCCAGGGTTACCGTCACCTGCGCTGTCACCCCGGGGCCACAGGCGGGGCGGGCGCTTGGCCTGGGGCCCTGGTGTGTTTCTGAAGCCCAGAGCACGGGGGCTGCCTACGCTCTGCAGGCTCCTAGGCGTGTGCTGGATGACCACGTGACCGTCGCGAGTGCTGTCCTCGCCACAGAAGCCCGTTTCGCACACAGTAAAAGGCGCGAGTGCTGCGTGTCGGCAGACGTGGGCCCTGCGTCCTGGAGCCGAGTTTGCCTCCCCCACGGCGTCCCCGGCTGCGCTCCCGCGTCTGACTGTCCCCAGCCACAGGGGTGGTTTCGGGCAGCGCTGATGCGAGAGCCCCCTGTGTGGGCAGTCCTGGCCTGCGTGGAGCCGCCAGCCGGGGTTCCACGGCGGCCGCCCTGTTGCACGCCCCTGCCGGCAGGCGCAGTCTCATGGCGCTTGTTCGCCGTGGCTGCGACTCCCGTGGCCTTGGCTGTGCTGGCCGGCGGCACCGAGCGTCCCTCTGCACCTGTTCTCTGTCTCTGGAGGAACGGCCCCTCGGCCCGCTGACTCCACGCGGCTGCTGGTGTCCCCGGGCGGGAGAGCTTGTTTTCCCACTGTTCCTGTCCTTTTCTTTAAAGAGATCAGTTCGTTTTTAGAGATTAATTCAGAGGGGCCGGCGCTGTGGCTCAGTGGTTAAGTCTCCGTCTGCAGTGCCAGCATCCCATATGGGCACTGGTTCGAGTCCCGGCTGCTCCACTTTGATCCAGCTCCCTGCTAATGCACCTGGGAAAGCAGTGGAGGATGGGCCAAGTGCCTGGGTCCCTGCACCCTCGTGGGAGACCCAGATGAAGCTCCTGGCTTCAGATAGGCCCAGCTCTGGCCGTTGAGGTCATTTGGGGAGTGAACCAGTGGATGGAAGATCTCTCTCCCTGCTTCTCAAATAAATCTGAATAAAAGGTAGTCAGAGTCAGATGGCCACGAGCTCCCTCTGGGTCTCCCACATGGGTGGCAGGGACCCGAGCACTTGGCCGTCTGCTGCTGCTTTCCCAGGCCAGTAGCAGGGAGCTGGATCGAAGTGGCGCAGCCGGGACTGGAACCGTCCCTTCCCCGGCGTCACGGCCGCCGGCCCCTCACGCGGGCTCCTGGGTCCCCGCAGGCACAGGCAGCAGCATCGTGGCTGTGACGACCACCGGCTTCGTGCAGCAGGAGCTGAGGATCGATGAGATCTGCCAAGAGATGAGCACCTCCTTCCTGGGCTTCCAGCTGCTCCCCGAGGTACCCTGCTGTGTGCGTGTGAGCGCGTGCCCGGGGCCCCGGCGGCCACCCGGCGGCCTGCATGGTGACTTGCCTTGCAGCAGCAGCAGCTGTGGGCGGCCTGTGCGGGGCGCAGCGAGGTTTACGTCTGCAGCCTGGAGGACCTGACCCAGCCCCCCGAGAGGATCCCCCTGCAGGACTGCAGTGAGGTCCGCTGCATGATCAGGGTGAAGCGGCAGGTAAGCCCCCCCACCCCCCAGCCCCGGCGGTGCCTCAAGGCTGGGCGGTCCCTGGAGCTGGGAAGCCCACTCAGGGGCGGCTAGGGCGGCCAGGGCCAGGGCTGGCTCCTCCCTGTGGCTCAGCGGGAGGGATCCTGGCTCTGCCCCGCCTTTCTGGGTGGCTGCGCGGGCTCTGAGCCTCGGGGCTGGGGCAGCTCTGGGGACTTGTCCTGCCCAGGCCTCACCGAGCCTTCTCGCCCGTTAGCTCCGGGCCCAGGGGCTGCTCCTCACGCACGTGGGCGGGGCCTGGCTGTCTCCCTGGCTGGCTGATGCTTTCCCTCCGTGTTTCTCTCCCGCAGGTCTGGGTGGGGGGCAGCGGCCAGTCGCAAGGCAAAACCAAGGGGAAAATCTACGTGGTCAGCGCCGAGCGGAGGGCGGTGGAGAAGGAGCTGGTGGCGCACGCCGACGCCGTGCGGACCCTGTGCTCGGCCGAGGACAGGTACGTGCTGAGCGGCTCCGGGCCTGAGGAGGGCAAGATCGCCATCTGGAAGGTGGAGTAGGCGCCAGGACGCCGAGGAGACCAGGGCCCGAGGCCCGCCAGGTGCACCTGCCGTGGGGACCGGCGCCGTTCCCCCCGGGGCTCTTCTCGGACCAGGAGCTGCACTGCCTGTGTGACGACCTCTGTGCCGTATAGAAGGTTCCAGAACCAGGGAACCAGGGACCAGCGAAGGAGCCAGCGATGTGGCCAAGCCACGCGCGACCCGGGGCCCCCGCGCCTCGGATTTTGCCTCCACTCGAAACACTCGTCCTCGTCCTCCATCGGACTTGGGGTCAGGGCCACGGTGAACCGGGGGTGCTGTGGCCTTGCACTGACTTCCTGCCCCCCGAGGCCACTTCCTGGTCCCACAGGGCTGCCGGGGGGAGGGGATCACACTGGGGTCGGCTTTGTGAGGCCAGGGGCGGGGCCGGCCCAGGCACCTGCTGTTTCCTTTTTCACTTTTCAACGTGCGTGGACTGCCTTGGTGTGTGACTGCTGGAGACGCCGGCTGCAGGTGACTAAGCGTGCGCCCCCCAAAGCAGCCCCGTGTGCCTTGCTGCCGAGCGGCGACAGCTCCACGCTCAGTGTCTCACGAGCGGGGTTTGGGCTGTGACTGCGGACATGCACGGGGTGCCCGTGGTCGGCCGTTGCCAGCGGCCTCTGCCCGGGGGACTCGGCTGTCGCCCTGCCACGGCCGGCTCCCACCGAAGGGCTCGGGGGCTGCAGGTCCCCGGCCAGGTCCGCCCCCAGCCATCCATCATGGACCAGAACCTTGCTCACGGGAGGAGGTGGAGACCGGGAGGCCTGGCCAGCAGCCAAAGGCAGGAACCGTACCACTGTGAACGCGCGGGGGCGCTCAGGGAGCGTCTTCCGGACAGGTTCCGGAGTGCGTCCGTGACGGGCCACAGGCGAGCAGGTGCCTTCCACTGCGGGTGACGCGCTGACACCGACCGGCAGCCCAGGGCCACGTTGCACCTGCTCCGCGGGAATCCCGCCAATTCAGGGCCAGCGTGGTGACGGCTGAGATGTCACTCGACAGAGACTGGGGCGGAGCCGTGGGCCGGCTGAGACAGCTCACACGCGCCAGTCTTGCCGGGGCCCTGTCGACGGGAAAGGGGAACCGGCACCTTCGTCTTCCGTCTGTGCTTCGGCGAGGCCGCGCTGATTCGCGTGGGAGGTGCCGGGAGGAGCTGGATTCGCTCACCAGACCCAGATGCCTGCCCTGCCTCAGCGTCGCCAGATTAAACTGGAGCAGACGTGTGGATCGGGAGCCGGGATCCGGCGCGTGCTAGTGCGGTTTCGAGTCTCCAGCTTTGTTTCAAGAAGACGGCTTGCCTTGGGGCGGGCCGTGCCGGTCGGGAGCTCCCGCAGGTGCCCCGCGTGCAGCGAGAATCGCCTGGTACCCTGGGTGCAGCTCGGATGGCGGCACTGGGGACTTGGTGTCCGCTGCCAGGTGCCCCTGGGGAGACGCCGGGGCTCTGCCCCCGAGTGGCCGGGAGGGCACTGCCTGGCTCTGCAGCTGCTGGCAGGCCCCACGGCTGTGCTCCGGCTGGCGCTGCAGCACGAGCCTGGGTGTGCCTGGGACTGCAGCAGCCTTGGAGCAGGGAGGCGCCCTGGCTCCTGAGCAAGGCAGGAGGAGAAGGACCAGGTGGCAGCCCTGGGGGTGCCAGGGCTGGGGTGGAGACGCCGAGGGCACCAGGACAGCACTGCTGCACATGAGCCCGGGCTCCCACGGTGGTGGTGGCGCCAGCCCATCGTGCACAGGAGGCCACATGGTCCCTGGTCGCGGCACAGGCGGCGTGTGTCCGGCCAGCACGGCCATCTTCCCTGGCAGGAGCTCGGGTGCGGCCATGCTGTCAGCTGAACTGGGGCTTGGGGAGGGAGGCCGAGGCCCGCAGTCTCAGAGGTGACCCGGGCCGGGGCAGGCGTGCGCGCCCCGCTCACCGGCGAGGGACAGGAGTGAATCACGAGGGCCGAGGGCCGGCCACCACTGCTGTGGCTCTGCGGGTTCCCCAGGTCGGCCGGGGGGAGGCTCCGATGAGAGGGAGCTGAGCGTCACCAGTATCCCACGTGGTGGCTGCAAAATGCTGAAGTCAGACCACACCGGCAGAAGCAGGAACAAAAAGCGGGTTTAAATACAAGTAGCAGGATGGCCGACTTCTCTCCCCCTGCCTGCCGGTCATTACCAAGTGTACAGCAGGTCCCTGTGAGCGTCTCTCGGTGATGTCAGTGTCGTGTGTTCTGTACCTGTGTCTGTCAGTAATGGTAACGTATCAAGTGTTCTGTAGCTGTGAGCATGGTAGACGTGAGTGTGTCCTGTACTCTGTGCCTATGAGCGTCTGTAACACGCTTCTGCATCACGTGCTGTCCCTGTGTGCGTCGGCAGTAATGAGCTAGGTGTGTACAACTACTTCACTGTGGAATGAACTTCACACGCACACGGCCCACACGGCAGTGGAAAGGCCCGACCGTCACACGGGCCTGAGAGCTTGCGGGAAAATGTACTTTGAGAACCTGTTCATGGATTTCACACGTTTTTGCACCAAAATAAACAGCTTTTAATCCCACTTACCCAGAGTTTTTTGATGTACAGTTATGTCATCTACTGGAGATGCATTTTATTTTATTAAGATTTTTAATTATTTGTCAGGTAGAGTTATAGACAGAGACAGAAAGGTTTTCCTTCCGTTGGTTCACCCTCCAATGGCCGCTGCAGCCGGCGCACTGCGCTGATCCGATGGCAGGAGCCAGGTGCTTCTCCTGGTCTCCCATGGGGTGCAGGGCCCAAGCACTTGGGCCATCCTCCACTGCACTCCCTGGCCACAGCAGAGAGCTGGCCTGGAAGAGGGGCAACCGGGACAGAATCCAGCGCCCCGACCGGGACTAGAACCCGGGGTGCCGGGGCCGCAGGCGGAGGATTAGCCTATTGAGCTGCAGCACTGGCAAAATAATCTCTTTTAAAAAAGATTTTTACTTACATATTTGAGAGGTAGAGTTAGAGAGAGAGAGAGGTCTTCCATCTGCAGTTCACTGCCCAAATAGCCACAGCGACCAGCACTGCGCTGATCAGGAGCCAGGAGCCTCCTCCAGGTCTCCCACGTGGGTGCAGGGGCCCAAGCACTAGCAGGGGGCTGGATCGGAAGCGGAGCAGCCGGGACATGAACCGGCGCCCATATGGGATGGCAGCGCTGCAGACAGAGGCTTAGCCACAGTGCCACAGTGCTGGCCCCTAAAAAAAAATTAGTTATCTACATTTCCCTCCTAAGCACGTGGACCACAGCTTCTTTAATCTACACTTGGTAAAGGGAGGAGACCCGGCAAAGCCAGGGGTGGGTTCTGGGACGGCCTGGTCCTCGCTCCCGGCTCATCGGGAGGCAGAGGGGGAGGGGGCACAGGAGGGTGCAAAGTGTACATTTCTTTAAAAAACAAGTTTGTGAAACCGACACAGGAAGCAACAGAGACTTCCGACAAAATCTGCCCAGAGAAGCTTCCAGAACCAGCTGCCTCACGACGGCAGAGTTCCACCGACACTCGAGGAGAGGACGGTCCCGGCCGCTTCGTAGCCCTGCTGCCGCCCTGCCCCAGGCCCCGGGGAAGTGACTCGGACCGCGCCCTCAGCAGGAGCGCGCGCCCGGTGCGGAATTCCTGCACAGAACGCCCCATTGCACACGGTCGGTCAATGTCCTGAGTGGGGGGCCGGAGACGGGAACCTAACAGTCCACTGCGAGCGGGCGGCGCCGCGGGGTTCCAGGCCTGACGCTCACCCTGGGAGGAGCAGGTGGCCCGGGGCCTGGGCCCCTGCCGCTCTGGGGAGACCCAGCGTGGGCGCCAAGCTCCTGGCTTCGGCCTCAGCGATCCACCTGTGGCTGTCGTGGGCATTTGGGGCGTGAACTCACAGATGGAAGATCCTCCCCCCTCCCACCTTTTAAATAAATAAAATTGTTTAAAAACTTAAAGGTTGATAACTGCTGGGTGCAGCTGCACGGCGTCTGACAATTCTGTGCTCACAGATGGGTGTGAAGTCCAAGTCCTAGAAATACGTACGGGGGCCTCTGTGTAACCCTGGCTGGTCGACCAGTTGTTTTCAAAAGAGAGCCCAAAGACAAGGCTCTAGCTGCACGTTAGCACGAGAACTGCGTGGTTATCATTCATTTGCTGTAGCCCTGAGAGTCTGATGCAGTCACTCCTTAAATAAAAACAAAAAATGATGCATTAGACCTCATCAAAACATAGAAGGGACTGGTGCTGTGGCGTAGTGGGTAAAGCCGCTGCCTGCAGTGCCAGCATCCCACGGCCACTGGTTCTAGTCCCGGCTGCTCCACTTCCTACCCAGCTCTCTGCTGTGGCCTGGGAAAGCAGTAAAAGATGGCCCAAGTCCTTGGGCCCCTGCACCCAAGTGGGAGACCTGGAGGAAGCTCCTGGCTCCTGGCTTCAGATCAGCGCAGCTCCGGCCGTTGCGGCCATCTGGGGAGTGAACCAGCGGATGGAAGATCTCTGCCTTTCAAATAAATAAATCTTAAAGTACAATTAGTAAAGAGAAACCATAACCCGTGATGCTTGGAATATTATATCTGAAAAAAGACTTTTACCCAGAAAAGTACAGAGAGCTCGTCTGAAAACGGGCCAGGGCCCTGTGCGACGCAGCCACACGGGTGTCCTCGGTCATTGGGGGCACCTGCAGTGCCTGTGCTCCCCTGGGGCTCACGGAGGGTCCAGCACCTGCGCTCCCCTGGGGCTCACGGAGGGTCCGGCATCTGCACTCCCCTGGGGCTCACGGAGGGTCCAGCGCCTGCGCTCCCCTGGGGCTCAGAGGGTCCAGCGCCTGCGCTCCCCTGGGGCTCATGGAGGGTCCGGCACCTGCGCTCCCCTGGGGCTCACGGAGGGTCCAGCACCTGCACTCCCCTGGGGCTCACGGAGGGTCCAGCGCCTGCGCTCCCCTGGGGCTCAGAGGGTCCAGCGCCTGCGCTCCCCTGGGGCTCATGGAGGGTCCGGCACCTGCGCTCCCCTGGGGCTCACGGAGGGTCCGGCGCCCACGCTCCCCTGGGGCTCAGAGGGTCCAGCGCCTGCGCTCCCCTGGGGCTCACAGCTGAGCACCTGCGCTCCCCTGGGGCTCATGGAGGGTCCGGCACCTGCGCTCCCCTGGGGCTCACGGACTGGCAGAGCGGGGCTCACGGCCGGATGACTGAGGGCCTGGACTCACCTGGGGCTCACGGACGCCGAGCACCTGCGCTCCCCTGGGGCTCATGGACAGCCAAGGGCGAGGTAATAAGGACTGGGGGAGGGCTCCGCGGCCTCGTGCACACACCTGCCCCATGGCCCAGAGCAACGAAATGAAAACCCGTGCACGGAACGCAGTTGACCCTGGGACTAGCCCCGACCCCCAGGGAGGGCGTGCCTCGGTGTGCGCATGCGTGTACCCGTGCACACAGGCACGTGTGCGCGTGTGCACAGTGCCCAGCCCCAGCAGCCAGGCACAGGGGCTGCGCTGGCGAACCCTCTCTGTGACGGCCCAAGGACAGGGCTCCGGGAGGGCGAGGCCCTAACAGCCGCTGAAATGGACGGAGCTGGGAACCCCCTGGGGCGGGTGCCGGGGCCGCAGGTGCTGCTGCCGACACGGAAACGCGACCAAGGCGTTTACTAGACTGCGGGTGTCTGTTACAGGGCCCGACACGGCTCTTGTTACAAAAACAAATTAACACGAGTGTGCATGGCCCCACAGGCGTGCGGGACCTGTGGGCTGGGTGGCACCAGGGGCTCACGCTCTGCTGGGGCTCGGGCACGCGCCACGGCCTCGTCACAGCCCCGCCCCCCACCCAGCACCTGTGCCGCCACCATGCTGGAGGCAGCCAACAGCAAAGGTCCCAGCCTGCCCCGGGTGTGCCCCCGTGGCGCTGGGGGCCGGGCGCTCCCTACGGGACGCCTACCCTGATGGTCGCCACGTCCATCTGGGAGGGAAGTGCCTGGACACTGGTGTGCAGTCCAGTGCCCACCGTGGGGTGGAGTCTCCCAACCACGTCTCCAGCACGTGGCTGTGTGCTCTTCAGCTGGCCACGGACAGGTGTGGAGTGGCCTGGCCCTGCCCTGGGGCAGCCCGGCTGGGCACCCCTAAATAGCCCCCACCTGGGGACCCCCAGTGACCACCCATCATCCCTCCCTCCACGTTGCCCCTGGCCCAGCCACTCTGGGTCAGAGGAACCTTTGACCAAATCTGCTCACACCCCAGCAGCTGGGCGACCTCGGGCAGCCTGGAAACCGTCACCCCTCTCGGAAAGGGACGCGGGACCCAGGGGACCCACTTAGCCTGCAGGAAGGTGGCTGCTTCGGCTTCCAGCCACCCCAGGCCTCTGCACGCAAGCAGGCCGCCAGGGCCGGGGCACACTGGATGGCTGGTAGCAGCTCAGGGACAAAGCCGCACGTGGCACACGGCTTTGGGGCGCGCACAGCCGTGGACGGAGGCGACAGCTGCTACCCCAGAATATCCTGCATCCCTGCTGCTGCGGGAGGCCCACAGGCTCGGGGGCCGCGCCGTCCCCGTGGGCACGGGGTGTCTGTCCACCTGTCTGCTCCTCCACGCACAGCGCCTCCCAGACGCCCCTGGCCACCTGTGTCCCCACGGGGATGGGACTGGACCCGGCGCTTCTCCCGGGGCTGGGGAATGTCACGGGTCCCCTGCCCGGGCCCTGCATGCCCCAGCCGCCACACGTGTTAAAGGCACCTCGGGAAGACTTCAGGGAACGCACGTGACCAGCGTGACAAGCTGTGCCACTCAGCACCCAGCCTGCCCCAGACACGCACACGGGACAGAGCCCGGAACAGCTGCCTGGGGAGGCCCCCGGCCACCACGCTGCCCCCTCACTGGCCGTCTGACTCAAGTTCCAGGCCCAGCCCCCTACTGCTTGAGACCCCTGGAGACGGCCCGGCAGCCCCGTGGCGGTGCCACCTGCCGATGGCCTCATCGCTGGGGAGGGGCTGAGGCAGGATCGGGCTCCTGGGTCCTCACACCCAGTGCACCAGGGCCTCCGGGAGCCCCCTCTGCTGCTGACCCGGGCTCCTGGGCGAGCGGCATCCGCAGGGCTCCGGGCCTTGGAGCCCGACGTGACTGGCCACTCACTTCTGGCCTGCCCGTTCTCCAGCGGCCTTCCCGGGCCTGTGCCGTGAACACGGAACATCCCATGTCATTTCAGACCCCGCGGCCCCGAGAAAGCAGCTGTGGCCCTGGGCCCCCGGAACGGGCCCCGCGCGTCCGGCTCACTGGCGGTCTGGGCGCAGCTCAGCCCTGGCTCCCTTGGTTCTCGGGCTGGCGGGACCGGACGGAGGTGGGAAAAACGAACTGAGACAGAGGGTGCGACCCGGGCGGCCAGACCCCCGACGCGACCTCGGGGCCACCTGCCCGGGATAGCGGGCCGAGGACGGGCGCCCAGAGGTGCTGTCACCGACGGGAGGGGCAGGGCTCGCGGTGGCCGGGCGTCCCGGGGCCCACGGCTGCTCTCGGCCGCTCGGTCGACACCAAGCACGCCGATTCCTTTCAACACGCAGAAAATTCAAGTACTTTATTGAAAAACTGCTCAGTTTCATCTGGAAATATATATATATATATATATCTGCGTATACATCTCTGCTTCAGAACGGCCGTACTGCAGCCTGATTCTCTCCGCCGCAAAGTCCTTCACTCAAACATCCACGTGAGGCAGCGAGTGTTACACCTGACGCGGCCGCGGCCCCCGGCCCGGGCAAGCGCAGGCACACACAAACCGCCCGGGCCGTCTTCCCGCCCCGATCGCTGCGGCCTGGGGCGGGGAGGGAGGCCCTGGCACACGCACGCGTGCTGAGGTAGCCGTGCAGCGGGTGGCCCCTGGGGGAGGCCGTGCCCGCCTGGAGCTCCGCGCTCAGGACCCCCAGCAAACGGCTGAGAGCAAAGTGCAATGGAAGAGGCGGTGGGGCCCGGGGCGCGGCGGGGAGGGAGGCGGCCCCGGGTGGAGGCGGTGGGGCCCGGGGCGCGGCGGGGAGGGAGGCGGCCCCGGGTGGAGGCGGTGGGGCCGGGGCGCGGTGGGGAGGGAGGCGGTCTCAGGTGGAGGTGGTCGGGGTCCCGGGGCCTGGACACGGACCCGCTCGCAGGTGCCAGAGTTCAGATCCCGGCCCGTGGCTGGCGCTGTCCCCAGCAGGGTGGGGGAGGGTGGCCCCATCCGGACTCCGCCTCCCAAACCCCCCCGCCCCCTGGCCACGGCCGCCTCGCAGCTTTGGTGTGGGCCGGCCGGGGGAGCGAGCGCTGTCCACTCGAATGCCTCCTGAAGGGACCCTAGGGGGGCAGCCCCGACGGGCGCAGCACCAGCAGCGCGTGCGGTGCTCGGGGGCGCGTGCCGGGGCCTGCAGACGGCGCTCACCGAACCGCCCGTCACCGACACCGCCGTGGTCCCAAGTCCTCGGGGGACCCAGGGCCGAGGACATCGATGGCTTCTCGTGTTCGACTGTCATTTTCGGGAATGCAAAATCTTACTATTTTTGTTTTTTTTTCTGAATTGCTTATGGTCTACCTTGCAAATGTTTTACAATTTAAAAAACATGCAGAAAAAGAAAGCTGAAATTAAAAGATCTTTCTCAATTTAAAAAAGGATTTTAAATGATTTTTTTTTAATTGTGGAAAAAGTAATTGAGTGTGGTATTTTTGCCTAGTAGCTCGAACCTAGCCTACAACTACTGAATTCCGGCTGCGTTTTGCGAGGGGCCCCGGCCGGCTGCACCTGCTGCCCCAGCAGTCCCCGCCGCGCCCGCCGCCCCGAGCGTGGAATGTGTAAACAGGCGTGTGGTTCAGACCATGGACTCCGTCTGCACCGGGCCCTGCAGGCCCTCGCTCCGCGACAGCTTCAGCGTGGTGGGCTTCTCACCGTCCCGGCCCTCGCCGGCGGGCGGGCAGGACAGGCCTTTCTGCTCCTCCCTGGCCTCCTCCGACGCCTCGGGGTAGATCACCAGGAACGTGGCCGTCAGGAAGCCCAAGAAGGAGCCCACGGAGGCCACCATGGGGATGACGCGCACGGTGCCCACGGCGTCGACCACGCCCCCGAGGGCAGACGCCACCAGGATCTGCGAGATGTAGACCTGGCACGAGAGGATGGCGCAGTCTATGCCGAAGCCGCGCTTGGAGTTGCCGGGGCTGTGGTGGACATACTGCAAGAGAAGGAAGTGCATGTGTGAGACCGCAGCCGCGGACGGAGGCTCACGCGAGGAGCCGCCGGGTGGCACGGAGCACGTGTGGAGTCGCCAGTGCCGCCCACGCAGCAGGGGTGGGAGCCGCAGCTCCCCAGGCCAGGGAGCCTCCGGCAACCTCTCCGGCCCGAGCCCCCCGACGCCCAACTCCTGCCCCGCCCCACGCAGAGGGTGGCAGCGGCTCCCTGTGCCTGGCGGGCTCCGGGCGCGAGCCCACCCGAAGGCTCCCAACAGCACAACTGCCCACTGCCCATGGGCGCCGGCAGCGGCCGTCCCTCGGCCTGGGCCACCGCGGCCCATGGAGACAGTTCAGCAGGGCTGTGTCCACCGTCTGCACCCCAGTCCCAGGGCGGGACTTCAGACACTCTCGTAAAACACGCAGATAAAAGAACGGGAGAGAACGGGAGAGGTGGCAATGCACACAGTCGGGCTAAGGCAGAGCGCCGAGTGCAGGAGACAGCGCCGCGACCGCACAAAACCAGGGAGCAGGTGCAACGCGCTGGGCCCAGAGGGCGCCTGGGCCAGGAGCCGGGATCGCAGGGCTCACGGCCTCGGCCAGGAGCCGGGACGGCACGGCACACGGCCTCGGCCTGCCGCAGGTGCCCGCCGGCCCTCAGTGATGACGAGGCCACCAGAGACCCCGCGTCCGCTTCATCGCACAGCGCTCACAAGCTCAGGTGCGCGCAGGGCAATCAACAACCTCAAGCGCACGTTAGGCTGAGAACCAAGGCAGGGAGTTTAGCACGTTAGAGCAGGAGACACCACGGAGCAGGACCCTGAACACACGGACACGGGCCAGCGCGCACCGAGGCCACGTCAGCGCCAGCCGGGCGGCGCCACCTCGGGCTCCACCAGGCGAGATCCCGCCACGCACCTGCTGCGCAACGCGCACACCCCCGCTCCCGCCAGCCAAGCGCAAACCCCCTCCTCGTGCACGGACGTGCAGAATGGCCCCGGAGGACCGACACGCGAGCCCTGTGTGACGCCGCCGAGCGCCGAGGCCGCCGGCCCGCCCCCACGCTCAGGAACAAGGGGCAGCTCAGGGGAGGCCATGCGGACTCCACAGGGGCGGGGGGGAGGTGCCCTGCTCTCCCCCACGCTGCAGACCGACACAGCACCGGGCCTGGCTCCAGCACCCACACGAGGCCCCGGGAGGGAGGGACACAGCGCCGGGAATCAGGGCCAGGGCTGCCTGGGGTGGAGGGGCTCCTGGCCTGGGTCAGGTCAAGTGTGCGCTCCCCCCTGCGCCCGAGCAGCCGCTACACTGCGATTAAGAGCCCGTTTAAGCAGGAGTTCTGTTCTGTTCTCGCTGCTGTCACCATGGCTGGGGCTGAGGGGCAGGCGGGAGCGCCTGGTGTCTTCCTCCCCCCAGCACAGGGTCTGCCTGCTATGCCTGAGACCTGCAACCCGCCTCGGCCCCGCGGTCACACAGCCCGGCCCGCCTGGCCCCCACCTCGGCCGCCTCAGCCCCCTCGCACCTGCGGCCCAGCCCGCCTGCCCCCACCATGGCCCCTGAGGGCACGCACCCCAGTCCATCTGCCCCCGCCTTGGCCCCCCAGGCACCTGCAGCCTGGCCCACCTGCCCCGCCTCGGCCCCTGATCCTGTGCAGCTCAGCCCGCCTCAAGGGCAAGTGCTGGGGCGGGTTTACAGAGACACGGTGGGATGGCAGAGACGCGGCGGGGTGACAGAGACGCGGCGGGGTTACAGAGACGCAGTGGGATGGCAGAGACGCGGCGGGGTGGCAGAGACACGGCGGGGTGGCAGAGACGCGGCGGGGTTACAGAGACGCG